CCCGCCGCCCTCTTCCGAGCCCTCGCCGCCTCCGCCTTCGTGTTCACCCCCATCTTCTTCGGCATCTTAGGGTTTCGTTTTCTTCCCTCAAATTTCACACTGATGATGTAAGAGTACGAATAATATGATCATGTGATGGATACGTACATATCCTTTCTTCATCCTCAAATCAAATCGATCTTCGTTTCAAGCCAGCTAGGCCTGCCGCTGCAAGTGCAACCAGGATCCATGGGCCTTGGCCCAATGCAATCCATCTTTTTCTTTACTTTCTTCATTTATATATATATATAGAATAATTTGCATATCACAAAGAGAGAAAACAAATTTAAAATATAATAAAAAAATTGACGCAAAAAATGGTGTATCACTTTTCCTTTTAAAAAAATATCGATATAAATTGGTATTTGATCTTATGAAGTTTTATAGATTTTACAATTTAATTTTTATAATTAAAAATATATTTTTTTGTATCTATGTCGATTAACTTTGAGTCATGTGTTTATTTGTTATATCAACTTGAAGGTAAAGTTTTAAGTTATATGGATTAAAGGAAAACAGCAATCATGAATAGGAATTAAAAATATAATAATGTAAGTATAAAGATTAAAAGGTATGATTTATGGTCCAAGGTTGAAATTTTATCATCGTCATCATACCTCCTATGGATAAAAAAATTATATGAACTGAATGAGTATTTAAATTAAACATATTTCAATGACTATATTATTAATTTTCAAATGATGTTTTTGTTGAGATGTGATACACATACAATATCAGACAATTAATTGTTGGAGCCTTGGAGGTCTTCATAATACGGTTGATGCAAGAGCCAAGAGTGATACAAATGACATGATGAGGAGCTCGCAAAAAAAAGTAGTGACAATAGGTATGAGAATGAGACACACTTAGACAAATAATTGTTAGAGGTTATTAAAGTGTAGTTGATGTAAGAGTCAAAGGTGGCACAAATGGCGCGACGAAGAGCTCGCATAGGTGATGAAAAATAAATTGACAAAATTAACTAAAAATATTAAAAAGAGTTGTATTTCTTTAATATTGGAGGTTCAATATTTTATAAAAATAACTTACAGTAATAAATGATTATTTATCCATTTACTACTTACATTAGTACTTAAGGGTAGAAAAACTCGACATTAAGTATAGAAAAGTAGTAAAAAGAAAGTAACATTTGATGTAAGAGAAGTTTGTTTGAAATAAAAAAGACAGGGAGGTATACAATTTTTTTCATTACTACATTAAAGTAATTGTTGACATTATTATGACTAGTCCCCTTAAGAGACAAAGAATGTTTAATACGGCTTCACAAGGCAACTAACAATAAGCTAATGCCAGGGACAAAATTACGTGCATTATCACAAGAGAAATCACCCCACTAAGATACGAAATGCCTATCAAGTCCAGTAAAAAAAAATCCCTCCTCCCCTCCCAATCCAAACACCTTACCACAACTAATTCAACTTTCACAATGTCAATTTTTTTAACAATATCGAAGTGTATACTATTAGAAGTAATAATTAATATTTGTTAGTATATATAAAATGGATACTCTTTTCTTAATATAATTTATTTTATATCTAAAATAATTTTAATTCCTCAAATATCATAATTTTATAACTTTAATATTTTAAATATTATAATTAGACAATTTTTAACTTATTTAAGTTATATATATATATATATATATATATATAT